GAAGTAATTTAGGCAGGGCTGTTTTTGTAGAAAAAGCCCAGCAGGAACTCATTAGCATAATAGGCCACACCCAACAGCAGGAACTCATTAGCCTATTGGGCCACACCCCTGACAGCACAGCTCATTAGCACATTAGGCCGCACCCACATGTTACCAGAAGTGTGGTTATCCAGCCACACCCACCTTTTGCTTGATATTTTGTTTACCTTGTTTGTTGTCAAAACCCAGGGCCTTTTTTTGTAGCAGGAACTCCTTTGCATGTTAGGCCACACACCCCTAATGTAGCCAATCGTAATGAGTTTCTGCTGTTGGGTGTGGGCTATTATGCTAATGAGTTCCTGCTGGGCGTGGCCAACTTGGGAGCCAGCCGGAACTCCGTTCCTGTGCGTTCCTGCCCAAAAATAGCCCTGAATTTAGGCATATCATTGCCTGGGAATTACACAATAATTATTTAATGCAAAACAGCATGTTGCCCATAAACACTTAACAAGCCCGAAGTTATTCCAAGATGGGGGAAATTTAGAACCAAGAAGCCCCAGAGGAGGGATGGGTTATGTATTGGCTTCTGTCCCCAACACATACTGTTCTCTCCGGACTCCCCTGTCTCTCTCAGCTTTTTGGCTCATTGTTAAGGATGTGTCATAAGCAGTCCCAGGGCCATGTCATTTACTGTCTGCCATAGCCTCTCCTTTAGTGCGCCTCAATGCTTACTACTCTTGATGGAGGCAGTCCTCCTGCTATTTGGCTTTGGGTTCCCTGGTTGTTGCTTCTCCCAGCTTCCTTGGATTTGTTAGCTGCTCTGTAGGTCCCATTACAAGGAAGGACGGGTTGCAAATATTTTAAATTGAAAGTTTTATCATGTGTATCAAGGTTTTCCTAAGTGCATTAGTGTGTCTACCATATAGCTAACCCTCCCCCCACTCCCAGTCCTTTCCTTCAATTCTGCATTATCGTAAGAAGGTTGTCAAACAGCACAATCACAACATGATACAGACAAGGTCAAGGGATGGTTTTGATTGCTGCTCATGGCTTACCTTTTCTCCCACTTTCGTTGTGTAGAACAGTGTGTTGGAGCCTGGCAAGAAGGGGGTCTTGCTGAACAGAGGCATGTCCAGAAGCTGGTTGGGACCCACCGGGGGCATCTGCTTCCCAGGCCCCAGCTAGGAAAGAAACAGCACACATCAAAACTCCTGTCAGGCTTTGGATTACCTGGGGTGAACAGATGTATGGTCCCAGTGGGAGAGGTTGCCAGCCTCCAGGTAGGGCCTGGAGGGGCCTGGAGACCTCCTGTTTTTACAACTGATATCCAGCTGACAGAGATCAGTTCCCCTGGAGAAAATGGCTGCTTTGAAGGGTGGACTCCATGGCATTGTACCATTCTGAGGCCACTCCCCTCCCCAAACCCCACCCTCTCCCGGATCCACCCCCAAAGTCTCCAGGTATTTTCCACCCCAGAGCTGGCAACCCTACCTGGAGATCTCCTGGAATGACAACTGATCTGCAGATTACCTAGCTCAGTTCCCCTGGAGAAGGTGGCAGCTTTAGACAGTGCACTCTGTAGCATTTTACACTGCTGATGTCTTTTCCCTCCTCTCCCAAAACCCTGCCCTCTCCATAATTTCCCAGCCTGGAGTTGACAACCAGAGCTCTGAATGCTCAAGGTTCTAGATTCCATCTTTGGCATTTCCCATTGAAGGAACTCAGGTAATAGGGAAAGGCCTTTCTGTGCCAGAGATCCTGGAGACTTGATCCCAGACAGCACGGTACACTAATGGCCTGGCTGCAGGTAAGGCAGCTGATGTGTTCACAGTTCTCCTAAGTAGTAGTGTATCCAGGATCGTTCCCCCTTCTTGTACCCTCATAAATAAGAAGGGAGTTAAAGTGCTTGCACATTTATTGACCTGGGCTTTATAGCTTGTCTCATCCCAAGATCTTTAGGTAGGTGATCATATGTATTTGAGATGTTTGAAAATATGATGTAACACCAAGAGGGCCTACAGTGATCTAACAGTGAATAAATGTTTCCTGTTTATGAGCAGGCTCTGTATAAACATTACAATGAATGCCAGCACATTAGACAAAATTTCTGCAGAGATCCTCCATGCATGTATGCCTTCCTTCTACCCACATAGAATGCCAGAAGAGGATTTACACATAGCTCCAAAGGAAGCTTCACCTTCTATTTTTGCAGCACACTGGGAGGACTACGCTGTTTTTCCACCCCACTGTTCATCCTCCCACCACCACCGCCACCACCATAAAGATGTGCCTTGCTCCTACTTGCATTGCTGGTTGCCCCAAGGGCAGGATTTGGGAGATGCTTCCCACTGAAGTTTCTTTCTACATCTCCCCCCCTCCCAGTTTTCTACTTTCATTTATCCTCCAGAACTCACTTCCACCACACCCTCCTCCGGTTCCATAGCTTCAATTGCTATCCGAGCGCTTTCGGTCAAGTAGTGTCCCATGGCTGCTTTGGACACCCCTCGGTTGGGGTACGCCATATCTGCATCCGCAAGGAGCTCTGTCAGAGCTGCTGCCCTCAGAGGGCCTAGCTTCCAACTGCCACATCAGCGTCGCCCTTCTAGAACTTTCTGAGACATTGTGACCCAACATCTCAGTTCTGTTGTCATTTGCTCCCCTGTCATGGATCAAGCACTGTGTTCAGGAAGGAAAGGGCTGCGAGATACCTCCATTCCCATCCATTTTCATTTTCATCCTCTGGCTGCATATTTCTGAGGATTAATCAATTATTTGCAGTTGTTAGATTTTTAAAATATATATATTTACATTATTTATAGTCCTCTTTTCTCATTGAGACACCAGTGGATTATACAGAATTAGTCAATAAAATCAACCAGAATGGAACATTCAGTAAACAATGAAATAGGATTCTTGTCCAGGCCATTTGACTTTGGGCAGCACGTGACAAGACATCTTCTCTAATATGGCATAGCCTGTGCTCTCTGGCTTGAATTTTACGAAGGATGGAAGGAAGGAAGGAAGGAAGGAAGGAAGAAAGAAGGAAAGAAGGAAAGAAGGAAAGAAGGAAAGAAGGAAAGAAGGAAAGAAGGAAAGAAGGAAAGAAGGAGGATTTGGATTGTAGAACCAACCAGAAATATAAAAACAGAACCGAAGCAAAGTGAATTGTTAGCATGACACGTTAAGCGAAGCAAAATTATATAGCAGGATGCAACTTACAGCCAACTATACACAGTAGTATAGGCCACAGTGCCTAATAATTTATCCAAGTAATGTTGTGAAGCATATAGACCGAATACATAAAATCACCATTTGATAATCAGTGAAATAAAAGAATAACATACTGGGACAGACATAAAGTCAATATACAAAAACAATCAATTTCAGCTCACAGAAACAAAACAAAAAAAATCAAAGCTATGGGTAAGCAGTAAAGTCTTGGCCCGGCATGAATTCGGTCGTGTAATGCTTGCAGTTGTATTTCAAGTAGAGGACTATAATATGCGAGTCCTTGTATTTTAAAGCGTACTGATTATAAAATTTGGTGAGATCTCCACTAAAAGCAATCCTATCCACTTCAATGTCATATCTACTAAAAGCAATTCTTTCCACTGCAATGTCATGTCTGAATACTTGGTACACATAAGTTATGGGTATCCATCAGTATGAAAAAACAATGAGGATGCTACTGTTGCACTCTAACTCACAGGAAAGCCTTAACAGAGCAGACTCTGGGGATTCCAAATTACTTTCATTTTAAGCCAAGCAACCTGGAACTCAAGGGAGGTATCTAGACTTTTGCATCCAGATTTTGTCTGTTAGTCCTCAGGAAGAGGAATGGTTGGGAAGAGATTTGAATGTATTAATTTGCATGTGGGATTTACTTCTGAGAAAACATGCACAGCGTTGCAATTGTTCTCAGTTACTCTCAGCTAATGCTTTCCTTCCCTCCCTCACTACAGGTTTTTGTCTCAGTTCCTCTTCCGAATTTATCACTGTGAGTTACACATTGCTATTTCCATGAGCTACACCCCAGTAATAGGTAGCCTCATCTTCTGGTTGCATCTTCTGATGGTCAAAAAGCAGTCGCTGAGTGATTTGGAACCAGATAATCGATCTGGGATCCCGCAATGGCCCATTATGCACACACATTACTGCAGAGCCAAAGAAATCCAGGGTCACTCCGCAGTTGCAGGTCATGGCAAACCAGCTATGTTTGTCTCTACCCTGACCTAGATGTCCCAGGCTAGCCCAGTCTTTTCAGAACTTCGAAGCTAAGCAGGGACGGCCCTGGTTACCATCTGGATGGAAGACCACCATGGAAGAACAAGGTTGCTACCCAGAGGAAGGCGATGGCAAACCACCTCTGCTCTGACCTGGATGGCCCGGTCTAGCCTGCTCTCATCAGATCTCGGAAGCTAAGCAGGGGCAGCCCTGGGTCTTTGGATGAGAGACCACTGAGGAAGACCAGGATTGCAAAGCAGAGGCAGGCAATGGCAAATCACCTCTAAATGTCTCTTGCCTTGAGAACCCAATGGGGTCACTATAATTCGACTGCGACTTGACAGTTCTTTCCACCACCAATGCAGGTCTAATTTAATAGACGATGGTCTAAAGGTTTAATAAACCTAATATTAAATCAATCGTTCTGAAGAAACCTCTTTGAATTTGCAATGACATTAAAAAATACTTTATCACAGTCATGCTGAGCAATCCTAGCCGATGGAGCCTCACTCTATTTTGGAAAATAGCTGGGGAAAGTGACATTTTGGACAAGCTCTCCTGAGGAGCTAAGAGCCATGAGTGGCCAGACCCCTGACTACTATTCATTTCCCATCATTCTTTAGATGTTTGCCACCAACGAATAGCTGAGGCAGACTGTCTAAACCTTGGCAAAGCCATTGGCCAGGTATGCAAATGCTTGCAAATGAGCACGGCACATATAGAAGAGTGCACCTCCGGTGGGTGTTCACTGAGTAAGGGAGCGGTTGCATCAGGGAACCCTCTCCAAGCTGGGAAGGATGAGCTCTTGGGTTCTGCAGCTGTGCCTCTCACTGGCTCTCTTCATCTGTGGTGAGTCTACTGACCCAGCTAGTTGTTTTTGTTGGAAGAGAACAAAGAGCTGCAGCTACCGTTTAAGAAAAGGGGACAGATTTTAGGAAAGTGTCCTGAAGGATGGTAGGGAAAAGATGAATTTAAAGAATTTCATCAGTGCCGTCAGCTCACAACCATGACCCCAGCAAGGGGCTTTCAAGGTGAGTGAGAAGCAAAGGTGGTTTGCCGTAGCCTCCCTTGGTAGAGCCTTCCATGCTGGTCTCTCACCCAAGTACTGACCCTGCTTAGCTACCAACTTGTGGTAACCCCAGCAAGTGGCTTTCAAGGGCAGTGAACACATGAAGCTGCCTTATACTGAATCAGACCCTTGGTCCATCAAAGTCAGTATTGTCCACTCAGACTGGCCGCAGCTCTCCAGGGTCTCAGGTTGAGGTGTTTCACATCACCTCCTACCTGATCCTTTTAATGGGAGATGCCAGGGATTGAACCTGGGACCTTCTACATGCCAAGCAGATGCTCTGCCAGTGAGTCACAGCCCTTTTCCCCAAAGGTGAATGAAAAGCAGAGGTGGTTTGTCATTGCTTTCCTTGGCAGAGCCTTCCTCGGTGGTCTCCCACCCAAGAACTGACCCTGTTTAGCTTCCAACTTGTGGTGACCCCAGCAAGGGGCTTTCATGGCAGGTGAAAAGCAGAGGTGTTTCACCATTGCCTTGCTTGGCAGAGCCTTCCTTGGTGGTCTCCCATCCAAGTACCTGACCCTGCTGGTCTTCTGAGATCTAATGAGACGGGGCTATGTCGTGCTGCCTTCCCTCCCATTTACAGAATAGGTGAAACTAAGTAGGTAAAAATTAAATCATCTCTTTGGCCCCATCTATCTCTCTTGGGGTAAGTTACACAGAACTCTTCATCAGACATCACAGAAAAGCACCTCATTCTCCTCTAATGTGCGTGCTATTCTATTGGCATGTTAATGGCATTTATGTAGAGAAGATTCTAAATATAACACATACAGAGTGAGCAGTCCTCAGGGTATGCTTGCATAGGAATTTTTTTTTCCCCAGGCTTCAAATGGGCTGGCTCTGCAAATCATAGCTTGAGCATGCCGATAGTCCACGTAGAGGAGATGAGAAATCAAGGATTCACCCCTTGGTGTTCCGAGGAGCAGAGGCCCATGACATTTACCACTCTTTTTTCTAGTATGGCTTCCCACTGCTGAATCAGGCACCTCGGAACCTCCCAGGAAGAGATGATCCCATCAGCATAAATTATTGCACAGTGATTTAGACTGAAAACCTGAGCATTCCCTTGGCCTTACAGAGCAGTCCTACAACCAATGGGCATTAGGATTGCAGCATTAAGTACCACTGAAGTCAGTGGGACTTTCTTCTGACTGGTCAAGATGGGTAGCCATCAATGTTCCCTCTAAGCTGTGGAGTCTTGTGAGCATAAATTCTGCTTAGTGAGCTACTGGCATTAAAGTTGTGAGCGAGCAATTTGGCTGCTGCATAAATTAGTTTGCTCTGGAGGCATCCTTGCTGAGCTAAGACAAAAAGGGTGAGCCGGAGGCTTAAAAACTGTGAGCTAGCTCACACTAACTCATCTTAGAGGGAACACTGGTAGCCATTTTGTTAGTCTATAGCAGTAGAAAAGAGTAAGAGTCCAGTAACACCTTAAAGACTAACAAAATTTGTGGTAGGGTAGGAGCTTTCATGAGTCACTGCTCACTTCTTCAGATACTTCTTCTGACTGTTGTTGTTGAAGTCCTCCAGAGCCTTCTGATGCTGCAGTTTGATTTCTCTCATTTCTCTGTTTTCGTATTCTTTCTGTGCCATCCTACACTCACGGCAGCTTGTAAAACCATACATTTGTTAGGATTTTGCCCTCCAATCTTCTTGTATGCAAAAGGGATTCTTTTTGATCCTTCCATTTCAACACATCCATCGGGGTGTTTCCTCCCAGGTGGAGCATCCCAGCCTGTGCCTGTCCAGCCTCCGCGGGTCTCATTTGCCGAGGGCACCACCGCTGTGCTGCCATGCCGCCTGGAGCGTGGGCAGATTCAAGACTACCACGTCTTCTGGTTCCGGCAACAGCCAGGTAACCGGCCGGCCCATGTGCTGAAGCATCACATCCAAGGTGAAATAGAACGAACCAGTGGATTCGATGAGAGATTTGTGCCTGTCAGGAATGCTGGTGCCAATGCCTACGTGCTGCAGATCCAGAAGGCACGCACAGAGGACAGTGCCACCTACTGGTGCATGGCAGAGATAAATTCATTCAACACTGCAGTCTCGGGGGCTGGGACGCAGCTCAGCATCACTGGAGGTGAGTGTGAATTACTGTTGCCAACTCCAGGTTAGGAAATTCCATGAAATTTGGGGGTGGAACCTGGAGAGGGCAGGGTTTGGGGAGGAGAGGGACCTCAATGGGATATAATGCCATAGAGTCCACCCTCCAAAGCAGCCAGTTTTTGCAGGTGAACTGATGCCTGTAATTTGAGATCTCCAGGCTCCACCTGGAGGTTGGCAACCCTAGTGTGAATGCCACATAACGGATTGGAATAAACATGGCCTGCTTTAGGACTAGGACATAATATAAAAAAAGCCAGGTTGGATCAGGCCAATGGCCCTCCAGTCCAACATTTTGTGTCACACTGTGGGCAAAAACCAGGTGCCATCAGGAGGTCCACCAGTGGGGCTAGAGGACAAGGGATATAGGGTAGCCAACCTCCAGTTGGGGCCTGGAGAGCTCCCAGAATTGCAGCTGATCTCCAGGTGACAGAGATCAGTTCCCCTGGAGGAAATGGCTGCTTTGGAGAGTGGACTCTATGGCACTGTACCCCACTGCGGTCCCTCCTCTCCCCTCCCCAAAACCCATCCTCCCCAGGTTCCACCACCAAATCTCCCAGAATTTCGGAACCCAGAGTTGTCAACCCTAGAGGGATCAAATGTCTCTGTATCTGACAGGCTCCAATACTGTAGTGCTCTGGCTGAAAGCTCTGTGTGCAACCCAGGAAACTACCAGCTCAAATTTTGCCTCAGTCATGAGCTCACTCGGGGGCCTTAAACAGAAGAAGCCATTCTGCCTCAATCCTGTTTCTGCTAAATGAAGATAAAAACTAAAGATCAAGATGGGGAGCCCTGTTAGCCTGTCGTGTAGCAGCAGAGCAGAGCAGGAGTCCAGGAGCACCTTAAAGACTAACAAAATTTGTGGCAGGGGATGAGCTTTCGTGAGTCCCTGCTCTGAAGCACCTGAAGAACTGAGCCGTGACTCCTGAAAGCCCCCCCCCTGCCACAAATCTTGTTAGCCTCACTCCTGGAAGGTTTCCTTCCACCCCCTGCCAGCGCAACATTCGGACCTGGCAACTCTTGCTCTTTCCTACAGATAAAACTAAAGAATTCCTTAGGGTTGCCAGCACCAGATTCAGAAACTCCTGGAGATATGTGGGTGAAGGACAGGGATCTCGGCTGGGTACAATTAAGGTTGACAGCTCTGGGTTGAGAATTGCCTGGAGATTTGGGGGGTGGAGCCTGGGGAGGGCAGGGTTTAGTGAGGGGAGGGACTTCAGTGGGGTATAAAGCCACCTTCCAAAGCGGCCCTTTTCTCCAGGTGAGCTGTCATCTCTGTCATCTGGAGATCAGTTATAATCCCAGGAGATCACCAGGCACCACCTGGAGGCTGGCAACTCTTGCTTTGGAGGATAGATTCTGTGAAATTATACCCTGCTTAGGTCCCTCCTCTCCCCAAACCCCAGGCTCCCCAGGTCCACTGCCAAAATCTCCAGGCATTTCTCAACCCAGAGGGAGTGACCCTAGCAACTGCACTCCTTCCTATGATGCTTGGGGGAGGAACCTGAGGAGGACAGGGTTTGGAGCGGGGAGAGACTTCAATGAAGTATAATGCTATAGAGTTCACCTTCCAAAGCAACCATTTTCTCCAGGGGAACTAATCTCTGTTGCCAGGAGATCAGTAATAATAGTGGGAGACCTCCAGGCACCACCTGGAGGCTGGTTACCCTAGACCGTACAACCCCAATAGTGTCCACCCTCCAAAGCATCCATTTTCTCTTGGGGAACTGTAGTCTGGAGATGAGCTGTAATTCTGGGGGATCCTTGGGTCCCACCTGGAGGCTGGCATCCCTAGTCTGAGCTGATAAAGCGGGGTAGAAATGCTTTAACAGAGAGTTAAGGAAATGCATCTTTCCTAGGGAAATCAGTCAAGGAACCCGCCAGGGTCACCCTCTTGTCCGACGCGGCTGCCCAGATATCGGACTCCCCCGATCTCCATGCCTTGTGTCTGGCCGAGCGATTCTACCCGGGCTTTGTGGAGATAAAGTGGAGCATGGCTGGGAACACCATCACGGAGGGTGTGATACCTGGACAGGTGATCTTGAATGACAACGGCTCCTACAGCACCAACAGCATCCTGACAATCCCCCGCAACCTGCTTGGCAATGATGCCTCTCTCAAGTGTTTGGTGCACCATTATTCTTCCGGCTCCAAGGCAGAGAGGAGTCTCGAGCTGTGCGAGGCCAACTCGTGAGTCATGGATCTGTATACCCTTCCTGCTGCTTTCATGTGCAGAAAACAAGCCCTTCCCTCTGTGTGATGACCAATAAATCTTTATTGACATCCCTGCGGTATTTGACCATCATTTGAATATTCCCTAAAGTCTCTCTGGGTCACATTCTCTCACATTAAAGGAAGCCCCTTGGCCATCTTTGGATTCAGTATTTGACAGCTTCAGCTGACTCTCCCAGGCCAATGTTGACGGGATTCTGGGTGCTGTTAGGCTGACCACGTTCCTCTTGGACCCATGTCCCTCATGTCTAATGAAAGCTGGTGGTAAGGGAATACAGGGGGCCCTGGTAGACATTATCAGCCTGCCCCTGGATTTGGGGATCTACCCAGAGGGACTGAAAGAGGCTGCAGTTGTACCACTCTTAAAGAAGGCAACTTTGCATCCTATGGATCCTTCCATTTACCACCCAGTCTTGAATCTGGGAAAGATAATTGAGAGAGTGGTTGCAGAACAGCTCCAGAGTTTCCTGGAAGACACATTGGCCCTGGACCCATTCCAATCTGGCTTCCATCTCAACCAGAAACTCCAACTGGTACAGAATGCAGTGGTGCGAGTCCTTATGGGGACCCCACAAACAGCACATATTCAACCCATGTTGCATGAGCAGATCAGGTTCAAGTCTTGGTGTTAACCTTTAATGGTGTGGGACCCATGTATCTTCGGGACAGCGTCTCCTGGAATACCCCCAGAAGAGCATTGTACTCAGCAGATAAGAACTTGTTGGTGATCTCCAGATCATGAGATATCCAGCTGTCCTTGACCAGAGCCAGGGCATTTGCTGCCCTGAGTCCAACTTGGTGGAACTCTCTGCCAAATAACAGCCATACCCTGCAGGACCCAATGCAGTTCTGCAGGGCCTGTGTTGGAAAAATTAGGAGTGCAGGAACCTTTTCATGGACTCCCATCCCCACTGTATTCATTGGGGAGGGAGAAAAGCTGGCAGGGATCCCAGTTGCAGGGAGGGAGGGAGAGAGATATTTGACCAGCATTTGAATATTCCCTAAAGTCTCTCTGGGTCACATTCTCTCACATTAAAGGAAGCTAAACCAAAACTCAATTTATTCTATGACACACTCTTAAGACAGAAAACACTTTTTAGCATTTCAATAGTCAATGTAGACTATTTCAACACAAACCCAATACATAAAATAGTGCACTAGTATAAAACGCAGAACATTCTGGAATAGCCATCAAGTTCTTGCATGGAACTGTTGATGGTCAGCCCCCTTCCTTAGTAAACCAGAGATCTATGTCTTTCTTGGACCTACAGCTGCTAAAGTACTGACTGACATAAAGCTGCTGTAAATGTGACGCAGGACAAACTGGAACTGACCCGATGTACCAACCCAAATCCATCCCCCTTCTCTATCTCTGGGGTCAGGAAGCTCACAGAAAGTCAAGGAGAGTCAAGGAAGCTAGTCTCAGGTACTTTATCTATCTAGATTCTGATAGTGACACCACTAACTTTTAGAATGTATAAACATCCTCTAAGGTAAAAATTATGTGCAGCGTTATCAGTACCAGAAGGCCACAGCACTTAGCAGAGTCCTGAAGCTTTCTGGTGAGGTAGACTATAATTCTTCGTATTGCATAATGTTTAATTGATCGATATTCTTTGTAGCTACACATACTCTTCTCTGAGGAAGCCTATTGAAACAGGTGTTTGAGCAAGCCTGTCTGCAGATTTGTGACCTTTTATGCTATTTGTCTACAATCCAATAACACTACAAGAAAGACACAAAGAAGATTTGTTTGTTGCACTTTATTTGCAATGGATGACCCTTGAGGTGAGGACGACCAGGCAGACGCCTGCAATAAAGAAGAACTTTAGATTATTGGACTGTGTCAATGGATACAAAAAACTTTGTTTATGGCAGAGATGGACAAAATTACAAAGAAACTGAACAACAAAGAAGATCAGGAGTTCTATGAAGAATGGGAAGACTTTAAAAACTACCTGGAAAAGAACTGGGATGTAAAACATAATTTACTGTGTTTAGAACAATATTGAAATTAGATGATGCTATCTTGAGTTGTACTGGAGAGAGAAGAATGGGGAAACATTGCGGGAAGCCATGGGGAGGGGGGGAAGAAGGAGAACTTGGGTATGGGGGTAGAATTGTAATGATACTTGACATGAGGACATGTTTATCTTCATTTCCATGAAAAATAAAATTTCTTTACAAAAAAAAACATTGTGGAATCATTTTTTGATGTTGATTCTTGTGTGAATGTACAGAAATGTATTAATATTTAGAAGAAGAAGAGATGAAGAAGAGATTGGATTTATACCCCACCCTTCACTACCCAAAGGAGTCTCAGAGCAGCTTACAAACTCCTTTCTCTTCCCCTCCCCACAACAGACACCCTGTGAGGTAGGTGGGGCTGAGAGAGCTCTGACAGAAACTGCTCTTTTTCAAGAACAGCTCTGACAGAACTATGGCTTGTCCAAGGTCATCCAGCAGGTGCAAGTGGAGGAGTGGGGCATCAAACCCGGTTCTCCCAGATTAGAGTCCGCGCACTTAACCACTACACCAAACCGGCTTTATCTATTTTTGGAAATCTAAAAAAAGAGAGAGAGAGAGTGGTATTTCCTTCATAAATATATCACGGTTGTCATTGACTATTTTCTACATACTTATCCCATGATCTCTCTTTGGTTTTCCAGTCTCAAGGCGGTAGCTGGAAATATCCTGGGATTATAACTGATCTCCAGACAGAGATCAGTTTCCCTGGAGAAAATGGCTGCTTTGGAAGGTGGAGTCCATGACATTAAACCCCGCTGAAGTCCCTCCCCTCTCCAAACCCCATTCTCTTCAGGCCTCACTCCCATAATCTCCATATGTTTCCCAACCTGGAGAATCTTTGCTTGGGCATTGCACCCACTAGTGCTGATTTGGGAAGACTGACTGACCTTTGCAATCTTTGGCCCATCACACACACACATATCACTGTAGATTTTCAGAGCAGTAAGCCTTTAAGCTTGACTTTGGATTGTGTGCCCACACACCACTCTTTTTCCTCCGGTGTATTTACTCTGCAGCTAAATCAGGGTGGAACATCACTTGTGATGTGTAGGGGGTGGCATCCAAAGTTTTTCTGAAAATACATGCAATTGTCCTCTCACAGCTGTGCAGTAGTGTCCAGCATGCATCTTCCATTTAAATCCTCGTGGGTCAGGTTTTGCGCATGCATTTTAGTGTTAGTTCACTGAATGAAAGAGAACAGAAAGGAACACAAGCAAAGGCACCCACTGTTGAAACTGACCAGACTTTTTCTGAAACTGACAAGCAGTTGAAAGCCCCTTTTTCCATATTGCCAAGCACAAGGGAATTCTCTGATGTGTTATCAGCCACTGTATAAAATGGGAGTCACATAATCTCATAATATAGGGGAACACTTTGAGTGTACAGAATGCACAGTAGAACCCACTGACACTGGCATTGCAAGCTGTAATCATTGCCAACGTGTGCATTTGTATGCAGTGACTCTACCACACTATGGTACCAAGTCCGTGGCAACTCTACCATGCTATGGGTAAACAGAAAAATCTTAGGCTGGCACCTGGAACTGAAAAGTTCAGGTAACAGGTAAACAGCTGAGGAGAATGTGTGCCACTCATGGGTGAAACCAAAGAAAAAGGCCCTTTCTTGTGTGACCACCCACTCCACGTCTGAAACTAGAGGCACCCAAAGAAGACCTCTGTAGATGATTTCACTTTCCTAGGCAGATAAAAACAGGGGAAGAACTTCTTCACAATCCTTACATGTGTCTGAGAACCAAGTCTCCTTCAGTGTTGATGTGCTCCTCAGATCTAGGAACACCAACCAAAAAGCTTCTTGAATGAGGAGGCAGTTAGTTGTTGTTTCTAACTACACAGCATTAACACACTAACAAAAGTATGCTATCACTGGGAGCTTACAGATTGGTGACCACCTACAAGAATTTGATGGCTCCAGGGGTTCTCAATTAACACGGAGGGATGGTCTGAAAATAGTTGATTAAAAACGCAAAGGACCAATCAAGCAAAAACTTACTTCCTTCCCATAACAGAGGTTTTTGTCTCAGTTCCCTTTACACATGTATCACTGTGGCTTACTCGCCATCACCTACACCAAAGTAATATGTAGCCTCATCTTCTGGCTGTACCCCAGTGATGGTCAAATAGCGGTCGCTGCCTGATTTGGAACCAGAGAATCGATCTGGGATCCCACTGGCTCTGTTGCTGTCACTGTACAGCAGAAGCCGAGGAGCCTGCCCATCTCTCTGTTGATACCACTCTGTACCATAGTGGTCATAGCCACTGCTCATATGGGCAGAGAGTCTCACCGTCTTTCCAAGGGCCACAGATTCTGAGGGTGGCTGGGTCACTGTAGGCAGAGAGCAAACACCTGGAGATATGAAGAGATGTATTAATAACAGAGCTGGGTGTGTTAATAACAGGCCTGGAATTGCATTTTAAAGCTGCACAAAGTCTTCTCCACACACCTGAGCAGTGAGAGAGAAGTGGAAGGAGAATGGCCCACAGCATTCTGGGAAACATCAAGAGCACTTGGGCTTCCTGTGGAAATGTAGATCTGCTTAGCACCCTCTCTTTCTTTCTTTCTTAAACTGATCCAGGACTTGAGACCCACCTTCTATGCAAATTCATTGCTTGCTCACTGGGTACTAAGGCTGCTGGAAGACCCTTCCCTTTTCACTCTGAAAGAGGGAAGCTATCAAAAAAGTACCAGATTTCTTTCCATCAAACAATATTGCAGAGCATTGACTTTATCCCATTTTTTTAAATGCATTCCCACTTAGCACAGGGATGGAGTTCTTCATCATAGCAGAGTGAACTCTCTTTTTAAATGTGTGAGTATAAATAGAGCACCTTAAATACTGTTACGAATTTTATTGTGGATGAGTAATATTGTTTTATTGTATTTTGTCTATTTAGTCCGGCATTAGCCTCTTGTTAGCCACCCTGAGCTGCTTGGAAGGACAGGATATAAATCTCAAATAATAAATAAAATAAATAAAATAAGGAGAAATTAAAACATGTTTCCGGAGTCATATCTGGAGCCATATACTTGGAGACTTGCTTTATTCCCTCCTTCAAATAATATTAGAAGACTATATTTGCACAAGAAAGCTCAGTTCTCCCTCTTATGGAATGCTGATAGTGGGGGGGGGGGTGGGGATTCTGACAAATTTTCAACAAAAATAATGGCAATACTATTTCCTGCTTAGGTCTGCCTGGCCATGAAGAAAGGAGAAGAGGAGGGTTTCTCTGGTTCGAATAGAAAATCTGTGCCTTGGCGGGGAGGCCAGGGTAAAAAAATCAAATAAATAAATAAATAAAATTTGATCCTGTAATGCTTGCAGTTGTACTTGAAGTAGAGCATTATAATATGCCAGCCTTCATATTTTAAAGCATACTGATTATAACATTTGGTGAGATCGCTACTAAAAGCAATCCTTTCCACTTCAATGTCATGTCTAAATTAGGGCTCCCAAGTACTTACCTTGATTTGGCGGGGGATATGTAGTTCTTCGCGGGACCATTCCCGTGGGGAAAACACAGGCGCTGCACTATTCCGTCACCCAGACATGACGTAGGCACGTAGCTGGGCAACACTCTAGCAATGGGGCTGGAAACTCGATGGTACCATTGATTTTTCAGCTCCATTACCAGAGCGTCACCCAGCTACGTGCCTACGTCACATCTGGGTGATAGAATAGTGCAGTGCCTGTGTTACAAGCAAGAATCTTCTGGCGGGAAAGCATGTGTCCCCCGCCGGTTCGTAGGTAGGTACTTATCAACCCTATTCTGAATACTTGGTACATGTAAATTATGAGTATCTATCCATATGGAAGAACACTGAGGATGCTACTGTTGCTCACAAACTCACAGGAAAGCCACCCTCCTCAACAGACCATATTTCATGGGCTCAAAACTACTTTCATTTTAAGCCAAGCAACCTGGAGCTCAAGGGAGGTCTCTAGACTTTTGCATCCAGATTTGTCTGTTAGTCCTCAGGAAAGAGAAATAGTTGGGGAGAGATTTGCATGTGTTAATTAGACTCCCTGTTTCACGGAATAGGGAGGATGTAGCACAAGTGGATGTGCATTGGAGAATGCTACTTTGAAACAGCTGTAAAAACTTATTTAATTTTCAGAATTGATGTCCCACCTTTCTGCCTTCACAAGGGCAATCAAGGCAGCTAAAAAACTAAAGCATACTTTATCCAAAGACACTGATCTCGGCTGGTTGTAATTAGTTGGGAAGAATATGCACTATAAAACGGGGCAGTTATCTTAGGACCATGGGTGCAGGATGTGTCATTTTCTGATCTTCTTCTGCATTGCTGCAGCTCTTTAAAACACCTGGAAAAATCAGTCTCGAGGTCGCTGTGTGGAGGAATAGCTGTGTGGATGGGGGAGTGGACTGGAGTGAGATACCTCAAGGAGTCGAATTTGAAACTCTTTCCTCTTCAGTAAGTGAAGCTCTGCTCAGCTCCCTCTCCAAACTCCTCGATTCCATTCCCAGGCTCCACCCCCAAATCTCCAGGTATTTCCCAACCTAGATTTGGCACCCCTCATACCAACTGTCATGGCCCTTCTGCATTGATCCTGCAACCTCAGTAATTTCCGCCCCCCCCCGTTGTTCTGGTATGTTTCAGCTGGCAAAAACAGCACTGCAGAGAAGGCAGGAATTCCTCCTTCTCTCAGCAGTGAAATAAAAAAACAACCAGGGGGCTAGAGCAACTGCCCTATGAGCAGGGCTTTTTTTGTAGAAAAAGCACAGCAGGAACTCATTAGCATAATTGGCCACACCCATCAGCAGAAACATATTAGCATATTAGGCCACACCCCTGACAGCACAGCTCATTACCATATGAGGCCACACCCCTGTGTTACCAGAAGTGTACTCATCCAGCCACACCCACCTTTTGCTTCTTATTCTGTTTACCTTGTTTGTTGTCAAAACCCAGGGCTTTTTTTGTAGCAGGAACTCCTTTGCAACTCCTGTGCATGGTAGGCCACACACCTCTAATGTAGCCAATCCTAATGAGTTCCTGCTGTTGGGTGTGGCCTATTATGCTAATGAGTTCCTGCTGGGCATGGACAACTCAGGAGCCAGCCGGAACTCCGTTCCTGTGCGTTCCTGCCCAAAAATAGCCCTGAATGAGGATCAGTTAAAACACTTATGGCTGTTCAGTTTAGGAAAAAAGAGACCAAGGGGAGACATGATAGAGATCGACAAAATTGTGCATGGTATTGGGAGTGTGGGCAGGGAGAGGGTCTTCTTTCTTTCTCCTATCCCAGGATCATCCACTGAAGCTGAAGGGTGGAGAACTCAAGATGGACAAAAGGAAGTACTTCTTCACACGGTTAAATTATGGACTAAGTTGATGCAGGATGGGGTGATGGCCACCAACCTGAAAGACTTAAAGGGGAGTGGACAAATTCAGGGAGGATGGGGCTATCAATAGCTACTAGTCACAAGGGTTACTAGCTGTGATGGATATCTTCTCCCTACAGGACCACAGGCCGTACCGCTCCGACACAGGCCCAGGACCTCCGTCTTTGCCGGGTTTAGTTTCAACCGACTCAGCCTGAGCCAACCAGCCACGGCCTGCAACGCCCGTGCTAGGTCATCGGGAGTGGAGTCCGACTGGCCGCCCAACATCAGATAGAGCTGGGTGTCATCGGCATATTGATGACACCCAAGCCCACACCTCCGGGCAATCTGGGCGAGGGGGCGCATATAGATGTTAAACAGCATCGGAGACAACACAGCCCCTTGGGGCACACCACACTCAAGGGGGTGCCTTCGGGACCGCTGATCCCCTATTGCCACCCTCTGTCCCCGACCTTGGAGAAAAGAGGCAAGCCATTGAAGGGCAAGCCCCTGAATTCCCACGTCGGCGAGGCGGCGAGCCAGCAACTGGTGGTCGACCATGTCGAACGCAGCCGACAGATCCAACAACACCAGTGCCGCCACACCACCTCGATCCAGATGCCTACGGAGATCGTCAGTCAGGGCGACCAGTACCGTCTCCGTCCCGTGACCCGGGCGGAACCCGGACTGGGAGGGATCGAGGATGGAAGCCTCATCCAGGTAGCTCTGTAACTGTGACGCCACCGCCCTCTCGATAAGTTTGCCTAAATAAGGCAAATTGGACACTGGCCGATAGTTGGCCAATTCGGCCGGGTCCAAAGATGGTTTTTTCAAGAGAGGGCGGACCATCGCTTCCTTGAGTGCTCCAGGGAACCGTCCCTCCATGAGGGATTTGTTGACAATCTCCCGTAGAGCACCTCGCATCCCCCCATGGCCAGCTTTAATCAGCCATGAGGGGCACGGATCAAGGTCGCATGTGGTTGGGCGCACAGATACGAACAGCCTGTCCGCTTCCTCCAGACTGAGTGGATCAAAACACACTAAACCCGGCTCCAAAGACGTGCAAGGGGCCTCAAGTTCGCTAACTGTATCAATTGTGGCGGGGAGGTCACGGCGGAGTGCCGAGACTTTATCTGCAAAGTAGCTCGCAAAAGCCTCACAGCCAATGTCCAATTCCCTAACATTTTCCTTGCCCTGAGGCAGAGTTGTCAAAGACCGAATTACTCTAAATAATTGG